TATTATTTCAGAAGTTATTGGAGGCGGAAGGCAAGTATATTTCTAGCCTTCTTTTATTTATTTTACTACCATGTATTCAGTACAGAAATTAAAATAAAGAATTGTTATTTTGTTACGTTATTCCGTGATCTAACGTTAACTTCTAAAAAAAATATACACATGAAACAAACTGCGCTATGAAGGGTGGGAGGAATTTGTTGATAGGGTTTGCAGGTTCTGAAATGATATTGACAGCTGATTTCCTTTTTTTTCCAGGGTTCACCATGTACACGACGTGTGTGATCTGGTTGGCATTTGTGCCGCTTTACTTCGGAACAGGCAACCACGTGCCACTGAGAATTACGAGCATGTCGGTAACGATTAGCTTATCCGCGAGCGTGACTCTTGCCTGTCTCTTCTCGCCGAAGCTGTACATCATTCTCGTACATCCAGAACGTAATGTGCGCCAGAGTATGATGCCTGTAAGTTTCTTGAAAAGTTTTGTGGACGCTCGGCTAGTAACAAAATTCTCTTGTTTTGTGGAACATGAATAATAACCTCCCTCCTTCCAACTAGGTTTCTAAAAAAAAATTGTTTTTTTTGAGGTTTTTCAACCAAAATGTTACATGCTTTTCTAATTTCTTCCTAGCGTGTTACATGTGTAATTATATTTATTTATGTATGCGTCGTCCTTGATTTAATCATCTTAACAGAGTTAGGAGAAGAGAACGTATTATAAAACTCTCCATAAATTAATGATTATTGTAGGACCACTGCCACCGGGTAAAAACCCATTTGCAGTCAAATAAATAATAATAATAATACCCTTACAATAAGAATTCAATTTTCATACACATACAAAACACCAGGTAAAATTATAGTAATATATATTTATTTCAATATTTTAGCCTTTTAAATACTATACAGGAAGATGAATATTTCTGAGCTGTGTGGGGTTCGAGGTTTTATGGCGGTAAAACTGTGGAGTCTCAAAGAAATGTGTCACACGTCCAGCGGAGTTTTACTTAGGTGTAATGGAGTATGGGCAGGGTCTAGATCGGTTAACGCTGATTTCCAGGTGAGGGGCAGTGCCATCAAGAGCCCCGCCGTGACTGGTACCACTCAGACGGGCAGTATGATGGCTGCAGTGATCTGCAACCAGCAGAAACAACCCTTCCATGCCACAGTTCCGCAGCAGAGTGGCTCCTCCCAGGGATTAGATTCAGGCCTTCAGAGCGACGGTAAACTATTCCTCCATTACGAAATGTTACTCGGAACTGATTTAAAGTCTGAAGTAGAATCGTAGTATCTCGATGATTATCAGATTTTGTTGATAAAGCTGTCGATCTAATTGACTTATATGGATATAAAAGAAAATGAACACTTTTAATTGGTGTTCTGTCTGACCTTGAAAGCTTATTGAAATGACCGAAGGGGTGACGTTGCGCGGAAAAGATCAAGTGAATTCATTGGATACCTTTACAATTTTTAGTGTACTTATATAAGTCATATTGATCTCATTTTTAGTACACGATTGTTTTGAAAATGATTTTCTTACAAAATCATGATTAATGTAGCCTATAAAATTCAAGCCTTCTGAATCATCATGGTCGTAAAATTTATCATCACCTACGCTATATGTAATCAGTGAACGCTGTCGCATGTGGAGGAACCAGCGTGATATACAATTTTAATTCATTTTACACTTCTCGGCAATGAAAATCTTAACTAAAGTCAGTCAGTTTCTTGTGAGTCTGTGGGCAGATGGCAACATTTTTTAAAAAAAAAAAAACTTTTGTCTCAAAATTTTGTGCGCAGTGGTAAATTAATATAACGCTGATACAACCATTAAATAAATTACACGATGTAAATAAATTAGATAATGATGCCGTATATCTACATGGAAAGTGATTGATCAATTTTTTTTATTTTGAAGACAGTTATTATTTTATTGTTTTGTAAAAAACATTTCTGTATTTTTCTTTTATGGTAGAAAAATCTAACATTGACCAGTCTTACAGATTGAAGCTACGCTTTTCTCGCGTAGGCTCGGAAGAAATGTGTAGAGCGTTGCAGTACTTAAGTAAACAGCTATTAGAAGCTTTTGAAAGGAGGCCTTAAAAATTGTTTCGTGATATTACAGATATAGTCTTTTGAAGCGGACGTTTCCTTCCAGTGTAATATTTTTCAATTGATAATGTTAACCTACCTCATTTACCTAGAGATGTCACTTTTCTGAGTTGGATGGTATTATATCAAACTACGCTGACAAAGAGTATGTAATTTGTGTTACCGCTGTTTTATGATTAACCTAGTTTTGGACAGACTTATGTTGTTAAGTTCTGTTGATTTATTTTTTATTTACGTTTTGCCTGCAATTTTATTTTATTTGAAGAAAAATCTAACACGAAGAAACATATCGTTTACTTTATATAGAAAAGATGTGTCTGTACTTCAAGGAATGGAAACATTTTCATTGTCGTCATGTAAGAAGAAGTTTCTTATAGGCAAGTATTATTATTATTATTTTCCCATCTATTCACCACTTTATGGGGTATTTACTTCCATGTACCCGAGACAGACCTTGTCCCTAAGGTACATAGGGCAGCAGCTATTTCCGGGATAGATATTGTTTTTAATACGTATTACATGTATTATATAATTTTATTTTACGACAGCGTCTTTCGAATGATGTATGATTATTATTTTTATTATTATTTCCATCATAATTATTTCTGTTTATATTCGTTCTGCTTCATATTAAGGACGATCCATTCTCAAGTACTAGTTTGTAGGCTGGCTAACCTGGATGAGAAATTGTATGGTTTTATTCAGTACTTTCAATGGTATAGTACCTTAAAATAGGCATTGGCCACAACTTTGCAGCTGAGAAAATGTTAAATAAAATATAAACAAAACAAAATGACTATAAGTATAATTTCGCTTTATTTGTAACAGCGAAATCAAATCCTGCCAACATAATAATTGTATTCTCTAGAATTTGAATGTGCTCATAAGTTAATCATAAACACTATTCTTAATTATTACTAGCATTTGGAAGTAATTGAATTGAGATGAACTTTTATTATCTTTATTATTGGTTATTTTAACTTTTTTCCATCTTTAAAATTTTATGTGAGAAAATATAAAACAAAAGAATGTCTTTCTGTTGAAAAATCACATTACGAAATACACGTGTCAAAGTAAAAATCTTCTCTTTTCTGTCATCCTCTTGGGTGAATAGGCGTTGACTTGGAACTGCGTGAGGACGTGGTCCACCAGTTGCATCGACATCAGCCATGTTTACTGGTGAATCGATCTACGCAAACAGTGACAGTGGCAATGAGCAATAGCAGCAGTAATGCCACCTGTCCCAACATTCAGCAGCAACAATTACCAGCAGCTAAACTTACTGCCACCTGTCACATAATTAACAGTAGCAGTAACGGCCCCATCTCCGTTTCTACGTCACAACAAAAGCAGCAAATAAAAGACGTACAGTTATAGCAGGATAAAGATTTTGACGCAAAACCGAAGGCCAAACAATCGGGCGCGAGGTCACGGAAACGCAGACGCTCCCCTGTTGTTGTGTGACTGTCTCGGAGACTTATTTTTTAAATGTTTTTGGTACAGGTCGTGAATGGACTATTTGCTTCAACTGGAAACCTGCCATGTGTAAAAAAAGAGTAGTTAAATACACATAAAATTAAGTTGGAGCGTATTTGGAGGAGTTGTGTAAGATATTTTATAAATATAATTGAAATTAAAAAAAAATTGAATGCAAAGATGTTTTATTTGGGCAATTGATTATTCATGTCTAATATGGCAGACAGAGAACATAAAAAGCCTTCCAAATACAGTATTTAGATTATAGGAGAAAGATTTTTTGTAACCGATATATTATTATATACGTAACATATCCTTGTTGTTCAAAAAATTTTAAGATAAGTGTTCAATAGTTCAAAAATAATTTAATCTAATTGTTAACAAACTTAACATTTAATGATATGTATTTGCCAATATACAGATGAAGTTGAGGTCCAGTCATATTCAGATTAACTGAACTAAAATGAATTTGGATGGACAATTAAGACTGTACGAGTTAATGTAATTTCTTGTGCTACTGTAGAAACTGGAGCGCGGCACATACTGAGCCCATGTGCTGCTGTCTCCGGTGTGGCAAAAGAAACTTCATTATATTTTGGTTGCTGGCAGGAGGGATATATATATATAAATATATATGAAATAATTGATAAATTATTTACGTGCAGGGTCTGTACGTAAGACGGTCCTCTATATTGTTTCTGCCATGCAATAGATGCTACAATCTGTACGTGTACTTCCAGTCAGGAGTATCCAATATGTGTTATTGTGGTTATGTTCAAAACATTGTAATGGAAAATCATTACTGGAATGTCGTGCTATCTATCTATAAGATCTTATGTCTTGTGTACATAATTTGAAAATCTCTTGCTTTCTATATCTTGTATCATCGGAACTGTGCGCGAGCATTTAATGATTGAGTTACCAAATAAAAATTCCTCAGAATTCTCCCCATTTTCAGACATGTTATGAGCAGGGATTTTCAGATTATAAAACTGTATGTAATAAAAACTATATTGAAGAATATAGTATTAATAAAACATGTTTAATACCCATACCAGTATATTTTATTATGACTTTCCGACTGGATTTGCGGTGTTTCTTTGAGCGTAATTTCTTATATTCGCTGTGCATAAAAATTTGTATGATAGTAAACCCAGGATTCGTAAAAGACCAGCTCAGTGACTGTCAGCTTTTCAATAAACACTCATGTTTTTTGGAAATACTTTCAGTTGAAGAGGTAATATTGTATTGAAACAGATGAAAAGGTGATCTTGAAAGGTAAGTAGAAATTTTCTAGGTGGTATATATGATATACAGAAGGTACTGTCCCAGGTATCATCGGGAGAGAATGTGAGGCACCACGAAAAATCTCAAAATGGCCAAGGTTAATATTCCGTATCTTCATCTTCGAACCGTATATAATTTCTTTATAAGTGTGTTTGCAGGACTTTTTTTTTTAAATAATTGAAATGGATGGAGATGAGCAAGGAAAGCTAAGACAAGAATCTTAATTACATTTGACATAACCTGACTCTTTTATAATGACAAACGAAAGTATATAACTTGGAAATGGCAAGAAATTGCCTTTTATTTTTTGTTTTCCCATTTCATACTTCCACATTGATGACATTTTATTTCTGGCAGTATGTGACATCATCTAATGATGCCACATTTTCTCATAATATACAATTAAAAATGTGTTTCTAAAATTAAAGAAATAAATACATACATAATTTTTATTTGAGTGTAAATGTCTGTATTTTCTTGTTTTCAGATTCTCTACTGCCTTTGGTGCACTGTTATATGAATTTGTAATAATTTCTTAATTTATTTAATGATTATTTCTCAATTGCATAGGCTGTGTACAGTGAGTCGTGGGGGAAGATACATAATGGATAATGACAGTGTTCTGGGTCCTGACACCATCAGCTCTGAAGATAGAGCCAGTACGCTTCACCAAAATGTTGATCTCTACCTTTGAGTCCACAGAGCCCAGCAGAGCATGTATAATTGGTACAGTATTACTCAATTCATAAAATCTAGATTACAATATGAGCAAGAGCTATTCATTGCATTTTTTAAGTTTGCTTTTCCTCACAAGTATATTTCATGTTTACGTACTTATACTGTTTCTTCTGGAAAGAAAAAAAATATTACATCACATTTTCTCTGTTTATTTAATCCTGTTAATTTGTCTAACCTGGTGGGAAATGGTGAAATTAAAAAAAAAAACTATGTCACATTTATACCACTTCTGGATCATCTGCCAAGAACGTATATGAACAGGTCCCAGTCCGAGAAGAGGATGG